TTGAAAGCGACAAAAGCAACGGTCGAAAAAAGTGAACATGGTGAAGAATGGGTACGAAATTCGTTCCGTTACGGAGTATAACCAATGCTAATGCCTTTTTATAATCGCCTGAAATGTTCTCTGGGAATGTTGGGATTTTTTATGGATTTTTCGTCTGTTTTGGTTCACTTAACCCTTTTGTAACGAAGCTGGTTTTTTCTTGATACCTGACGATAATGTATCGATAACTGGCGAATTTTAAAAGGTCGAAGACTTTAAAACCTATAGAAGAGACGTGTTCAATCGTATCAACAGCACATATGACTTTTCCACAGGATTATTTTAAGTTTGCCGTACTGGCTAGCAGGATACTAGGATAGCACCACTGGCTCGATACATCGGTAGGCCACCACTAGTCATTGTAAAGGCCAGTTATACATTCAGTCACCTCTAAAGATACTTAATGAAGTCGAATGCATGGCGCATCCCTCAGGGATTGATCAACTCCGAGAGCTTTTTTAAGAGCTTTACTACTTAAAGTTTAAACATGTTTAGAATTGAAACCTTCGAAAACCAACTGAAAACGTGATTTAAAATTTTCAATTTTTTAACGAAAGAACAGCAGCTGCAAACACACCATGTATATTGGAGAATACCATTCTTTCATACTGTACAGACCGCCTCCACCTAAACTATTTACTTTCTCGAAATACGAGGTATTTAAAGAAGAAATTTAAAACAACGTGCTCCATGAGCTCCAGAAAAACAAAATTTCGCATTGGTAAGATGAGGTAATGTGGTGGGTGCCACAGTGGTACTGATCCCGTTCGGTATCAAGCTTGATGGATACAGACTCATTTCCCGTAATCGACGTGGGAGCATCCTGTCACAACTGCCTAAAATTCGAGAGAGGATCGGTTCGACTAGCAATCAAGGATTTTCGTAAAGAAAGCGAAAAAATCCTCAAACAGCAGCCGACGCCACATGCAAGAACGTTCGAAGGCCATCGAGGATGGTGGATGCAAAGAAGCTAATTGATTGCAGGGAATGTTGGGATCCACACAGCGTGACACATGTTAAGTTGAGTCAATTAGTAGTAATTTTTACTTAGATACTTGGATGGCCTTGCCCTGGCATACTTTCCATTCCGTCGAAGTTTTGCTGGTTTAGCGAGTGTGACTTCCTGAAGTGCCGAGATCAGTCTAGCGAAGGTCTGCCCTTGTTCTTCGCCACCAAAGAAAGTTGCCGCCCTTGTGGATCAGAAGAAGATTTTCCACCATGCGACTTTGATACCAGGACGGTCGTGGATCTTGGTACTGGTTTACTCTTAGCTGGGGTTCTTTATGGAAACGCTCTCATCCTTATGCAAACTCGCTCCCAGCTTGGGAAACCCCGCTGGGTGGATGAATCCCGCTCCTCTACATCGCAGCCCGACACTCAGAAAGACTTCCCAACCACGATGAGGCGGTTAACTGTTGGGAGGAGTAGTAGTACTAAGAATGAAGAATATATCTAGTCCCCAAAGATCTCTAGATTCCTATAGCTCATATTGAAACTAGTAAAATTCGCTACGATCTGAAACAGGGCGATTTAAAGCTGAAATTAGGAATTGTTATCACATGCTATGACTCCTACAGAGCTCACGTCGTCGAGTAATGGTAAAAGAAATGGGATTAAGCGTTTCAGTACAATTTGCTTTTTTGCCTTGGAATTTCTTCGAAATTTCCTTTCTTCAATTTTGTTCTGAATTTTTTTCATGATTTCCTATCCTGAGTTAGTAACAATTTGGTAATTTCGCTTGTTTTCGTTCTCGCAGGGCCCGCTGGCCGTATAATTGCTGAATTCGCTACCTTCACGGGACTTGGTATTGTCCATAGAACAATGCAATCCATGCAGAGTATTAAAGTTCTCTCCTTTTCACATGGGTCCGCAACCGTCTGTGTCGAATCCTGGCAAAACCTGTACTCGATAGCTATCTCGGATTTTTCAGAGAAAACACCGTTCAACTACATCGATGAGGAACGTTGTCTATTGATTTCCAATTGGCGGCTTAATCAACACAGGTTAATGTTACACAGAAAACTTGGACAACGTTTTCAGTCAATAAGGCTAGCATTGAACACTAAGCCGCTCCTCATAGTTCAAATCGCCAAAGAATACCCTAAATTTTAGATCCAGCTGAACTGTCGACTAAATTCACAGTTGGGATCAACATTCAGATTTTCAAGCGATACATGGACAGATAAACGAGAAGAATTATCTCCGTTGACGGATGCACCGCTACGAAACAGGTGGAAGAAGTGCTAGAACCTGCACCACTTTCATTACGGACTACTTAAGTCTATGTGTACCCACGAATAATTCATTCTGTGACGCTGTCTTCGGCTTTTTCCAGGTTTTCTGTGCCAGAAATCGATAAATCGGAAGTCCTGTGTGAGCTGAATAGATTCTTGTGATGCATAATTAAAACGTCATTCAAAAAAAAGAAAAGGAGCAGTAGGGTTTAAAACGATGAATCACTTCCACACGACAACGGCTTTTGTCGTTTTATTGGCCAATAGTCGATTCGCCCTGGAGTCCTGAGATAACCGGGTATGAGCGCTCCCACTTGGTTTGCGGAGAGCAAATTTTTCCCAGATAAGTCCGGTATCAATTTCCCGACCCTGGAGAGATGAAAGCAGTGGTGAGCTCGGAGAGGGATCGAACCAGGACCGGGATCGTGATGAGCGGCATCACTACCACTAGTAGCACTAGTGCTTCTTAACCGACAATTAAATATGGTCTAGTCACATTGTATAATACTCTGCATCTCATGATTTTTTTCTACTTCACAAATCTCCTGTAGAACATTCGGTCAAAGACTGTAACCATAGAATTGCTACTACAGCTGCATCCTCTCCTCGCTGACATAAAAATGCCATTTAACAACCCAATTATTGATTGATCGCCAGTCGTATGTGTCAACGCAATAAGCGTTCATTCAATAAACGAACGCGCCTAAGTGTGCTGTGCCAGGCGGCAACTCGTCCACAGTGGACGGTGAAATGTCACGGTGCTATTTTTCTCTAGTATTCTAGTGAATATAGTTAATTGAGGATATGGAATAAAAATCCTACAACAATTTTCACTAAGCTGGCACGATGTTAGTATAAAAAGTTTCATTCGGATAACTCTTCCACTCTTCTACCTTCTTCAGACCCGGCTTGATCTGAGTCCATGTTCCTTGGCTGTTCGGTATGGCGATGTGAATGTTTGTGGACGAATCGAGTCGAATCGTCGAATCCACTGGAAGGAGCACCGCTCGGATTTTCTATACCAACCTTTTATCAGCTTACTCATGTAGGAAATTGGTGATTATTCTTATCGATGCTTAGTGGAAGTAGGTTTTCAAGAGTCTTATAATATTACTATCTGACGTTTTCTCCATTAGAAAAGTGAATTTCATGTCTATTAAGTAGAGAATCTTTAAAGCACTTTCTGTATAGACGTACATGGTAGTGGTAGGTATTCGAAATAAAAGATATGATTTCGAAAAACGTGGTGTAAGGAAGGTTTGTTGAAGAAGGGAAAAGCGCCGCTTGAAGCGGTAGGGCCCGTTCTACGAAAGGATAAGAAGCAATAGTAAGGTACAGCCATACTTGTCACCCTTGAATCGACGTTCATCTCTCCTCCAAAAAAAATCTGTTGTTGGTCTTCTGAGTTGCAACTTGAATCAGGTATAAAAACGTCCTTTGCGATTATTGTCCTCTCTTTTCACCGTTCTCGTCATTCTCTTTAATCGGCCGTTTTCTTTTACTTGTACGAAATTTAGAGTTGTAATTGCGTTAACACACTTACGACCGTGCTAATTTTTCGGCAGCTGATAAGAGATCTTCGATGTTAGACTTTTATTTTCTGCCTATCATGATTTTTCACAGCAGGGTATGATGTGAATGCCGATGTGGGCTTCCGAGATCAATCCCGTTGACGGGTGATATTGCTGACTGCACTGGTACATAGAAAACTAGCTAAAAGAAACGCAAATCAAGAGCCTCCATGGCTCAGTGTGTAGTGCTGGAGCCCTTGGAAAGGGAAATCGTGGTTCGATATGGCCCGGAGTCCGAGTTCTGCGAATATCTCAGCATCGTTCTAGTTGTAGTTCCTCAGCAATTACAGCACTTTAAAAGTTGAGATTTTCACTTATTTATAGAGCAGACGCTGCTCCATCGCTTTGAAATAGAAGTCCCAACGAGAAAAAATCACAGGCAACACATCTCCTGGACGCCAAAAAACCAGAAGTTCATCTTCGTAAGATAAGGAAGCTGCTATCTTGTTGGCAAAGACGCGAAGATTGTATTGGTTTTCATTTCAATTAAAAAATTTCACTATACGCTGAAAAATTTCGGTTCAAACCTCAAGGAGCCCACTACTTTCACTCCAAATGCATTGGAGTCAATGCATGTCGTTGCGAATATGTTAATCAAAGTCATAGAATAGGAAGTTAGAGCAATACGGTCGGATTTTTGAGTTTCCCGATCCTAGTAACTCCTGTAATGGCCGTTTTTAGCATCCATCCAAGAGACATCTTTTACGACGGCTACAATGATTTCAATTTCAAGTTTTGATTTTTGTACCTCTAAAGCAATACGATGGTCAGACCGTAACAATCTCTAGGAGATTTTTGGAATAATTTCTGCTTTTGAATGGAAAAATACGCTTAACACTGATTCATCATTACAAAGCCACAAAAGTAACGTCGGCATGTAAAATGTGACTGAAAATACGAAGTGTATCGGATTCACTGAAAAAGATAGGACGATAGAATCGTGTTCAGTGTGGTAACAGGTTGATGAAGATGATGAACGATAGCTATGTGGACCGATGGACAGGTTACGCTGGACAACGTCTGATTACGGATGACTGGGTGTTGTGTAACACTGAACGAACTGACAACTTATGATTTAAAATGTGGTCACCGAAGAAAAAAAAGATCTCTCGAAATCCGTGGATGATTTGAGTGGAGACTTGCTTGCACTACGATTTTACTGCGGTACAGCTTTCAGCAGCGAATTTACCTCTTGTGCTACACAACCGTAAATCAGCTTGAATTGATCGGCTGTACGAACGAGACCTGAACAAGGAATTGATTTAATTATGATCAAGCTCAACGCTTTTATACAACGATTGATGTTAGAGATATTTGGGAATTGACTGCAAACGCTTCGGAAATTGAAATAAGCGCTTCACGGAATTTACTCGCTAATCTTTCACTAGTTGATTACTGTATGGGTTAATTCTTACCGTCTCGCTGATCACGAAGATGTTCGACGGATGCGATGACGTCTAGTTGGCGGACGCCCTTAAGAAGCCGAGCACAGAGCATGTCTACTGCACAGAAGACGCCTGTTCGTCCAGCACCTTCCCATGAGTGTACCAACACTGGCGATGCTCGGCCTCGATACGATTTGTTCACCTTGCTGCAAAGAATACATCGACTGTTATCGATTATTATATGCTAAATTCCAAACAAAAGCAAAGTTAGAGTGAGGATGAGTCGGTTCACACTTTAATAGCAGTATAGTAGGTATTCCTCCCAACAGTTTATCTCCTTATCGTGGCTGGGAGGTGTTCCTGGGTATGGGACTGCGATGCACAGCGAGGGATTCATCCCCTGGCAGAGTTTTCCAAGCTAAGAAGGACTACGATGTTTCCATCAGGAAGCGTAGCTAAGAATAAACCAATACCAGGATCCACAACCGTCCTGGTGTCAAAATAATGGCATGATAGCAAATCACCCTCTGATCCACAAAGACGGCGACTAGCTATAGTGGTGACGAAGTGGGGCAGACTTTGGCAAGGCTAACCTCGGGACTCTAGGGAACAACAATGGCTAAATCAGAAAAACTCCGAAGAATAGAGATTGTGCTGGGGCCCGCACAACCAGTGAGAGCGGGCTGTCCAAGTATCCAGGTAAGTATAGTAACTATTCCTTGAATAGCTCCTATTTTCTACATTCCCGTATATCTCCGATATTAACTATGTTATTGCTAGCCACATTTCTTCTTGCCTTCTACGCTTTCTATCGCTTTCACATAAACACGCTGTATAAGCTCTCACACCGTTTCGATATGTACTTTCTGTAAAAGCCTTTGTATAAGCTATCCCATCTCTTTCACATGACCTTTTTTATAAGTCGCTTTTCGCTTTTCAGACAAACTTTCTGTACGAGCTATTCCTTCGATATCTGTTTAAGTCCTCTGTTGGCGAAGCTTCTTGCATACCGTCTTATCTATTGTACTTGTCTGCATGTACCGTGTCATGCCTTGGAGCAGCTCTATCAAATTGTACTAACCGAGGAACTTCCTAGAACCTCTCTTTGAGCACTGTCTCTAGTTCCCTCTTTAAAAGCCCCACCCATTACAGAAGGAGTATAAGGAGCACTACTAGTCATCAAACCAGTTGGCTCAAAAAAAGAACTCCAGCGTTTTCCTAGCTTCCTTCAAGTGTTTCACTTACCTTCATTTCAATCTCGTTCGTTCTCGTACACCTAACTGGACACAAACATATTGCATTGTTATCATTGCTATAAACTGTTACAAGCCAAACTCGAGGTTGTTCATGATAGTTACGAAAGAGCTCCACGTAGCGAAGTCATACAAAGTCGACCATTCCACCTACAGTTGGCAAACAGAGGACAAATCTGACCAATTACTACTCTTCATTCCACCCTCCAACCAGCACAAACGGCAAGGATAGCGTGATAACTGATGTCGACAATGATATGCAAGGATAATAGGTATAATGGGTGTGGATAGGATGCTGCTAGAGGATTTCTTCTTCTTTACGAATGTTGTAGAGTGCGGGTCGAGTCGATTCTTGTTTCCTGATGAATTGCATCACTAACCACTGCACTATCTCTTCTCAATATATAAATAAACGCATAAGAATAATAGCAATAACGTCGATCATAATAATACTAATAGTATATAATGCTGAGATATTTGCAAAACTCCGGACCGCAGATGTATGCGGTGGGCAACGAACGCGCGGTATTGTCCTCACCGGTGAGTAGCGCACTTCACCACCACACCATCCGGGTCCTTCGTTTAGCCTGTCTCTCAGCTAGTTCTATCGATCTTTTGTCATCAGCAATCATCCGTCAACGGGATTGATCTGGGCAGTCCAAATCGGCACTGAACCCAGTTAAGCTGAGGCCGTAGTTCTAATCACAATTTTAACTCATTATTTACTGCCTACTCTTTAAATGCTTCAATGTTTTTGCCACAATTCAGCTATTAATTTCCTCCATTGTGGACATATGATCCACCGTTTTTTAAACGATTTTTCAAGCCCTGTATGCTTGAGTAGCTGTCCTTCATAAAATTTTCTGCTAATTTTGTTGAGATAACAACGACAACTATTAGAAGATTAGACGACAACCCCTTATATCGTCTTTGGCTCTTGAGCAACTGTTAAGCTGAGGCTTAGTTATAATTACAAACTTAACCCTTTTATTTACTGCCTTTTTCTTTTTAATCGATAGAACTAGCTGAGAGACAGACAAAACGAAGGACCCGGATGGTGTGGTGGTGAAGTGCGCTACTCCCCGGTAAGGACAATACCGCGCGTTCGTTCCCCACCGCATACACCTGCGGTCTGGAGTTTTGCAAATATCTCAGCATTATATACGAGTTATATTTCGCAAACATACCCTGCCATAAAAAAAAGGCAGTAAATAAAAAGGTTAAAATACTAATAGTATTAAAGCCACACGTTTTTCTCCCATGTGGAGGAGAGCGACAGGGTCTTGCTTTGGTATGCAGAGCAACTGGATCGTTTCTTGGTGCAACAATGAGCATCAATATTGATAACTTGTGGCAGTGGTGCTTCCATTGTATTCCGTTACAATGACTGTTCACTTTACCGATCTGTCATGATTATTCATAACTGTTGTAAAACATTTTAAGGTACTGCCGAAAGAAGTTGGATAGTTCGAACTCATATTCAACAGTTGTTCAGTACGTCCTTCCTATAAAGTAGCCGTGCCACTTCTACGTGAAGTCCGCTCACTACTACACGCTTTTTTAAATTCTTTCTTGTTTTATCTTTTTCACCATCTCCATACATTGGCAATTTTTGATCAACTTGATACATTTCCCTTGGTATATCCGTTCGGGATACTACCGATAACTAACAGGATTGTACTTGATGCAGATATAATATGGGATCATTTGCTGAAAGCTACTGGGGACTGATAAGACATCAAGTCTTTAAGAAACCTGTGCCCTTTAATGTTACGGGTTAAAAATTGAAGATATCAACTCACCGCCGAAATTCGATGAGGCTCTTTGGACTGACAGGTGTACTGCTCTGTTTCCATGACAGATAATGGAATTGTGTGATGGTACGAGTCTGGCCGTTGCGTAGATTCTTCAGATAAAATGAACGAACGAGGTATTCGTCACTCCAGATGTGCTCAGAAACGAGATGGATCTTAAAAAGAGATTTATAGCAAGGTACCATCATTTATGGAGAAAGGCTCATTATCTACACTGGATACGATTCATTTCATGTCACAAAGCTTTATTGCTTTCTAGGTATGAAAATTTATTGCAAAATGGACTAAACGCGTGCGATGCTGTGGCGTACAAAGTGTGGGCATCAATTTTATGCGTCATGCGATCAATAAATCGATTTTCGCGGTATGCTATGCTTCGTCGTTTGACATTATATATATCCAAGCATAAAATTTCATCATAATGTGACACTGTATTTCATTTACTACATTTTTTTTTTGAGAATTGGGACTCACCTCAAATGGACCATGAACTTCGGATCCGGTCTCGGGCCAGTAGCTCTTCTCCTGTTTTCCCTCGTCAATAGTAGATAGATTGACGATCAGACAAACACCATGCTGCCAAATTGCCTGCCAGAATGTCGCTACGTCGGCCGTACGTGGTGTCTGCGCTGCGATGTACATTGGTTGCCTGAAATTTTTTCATATGGAAATTATTTTATAATTAGCTGAGAGAAACGCAGATCAAGGCCTCCGTGGCGCAGTGTGTACTGCGCGAGCCTCTGGAGAGGGAAATCTTTGTTCGATCTAGCCTGGGGTCCAAGTTTTGCGAATATCTCAGCATCGTTACGTTTTATAAGTAGAATTTTTCCATGAAAACTAGAAGAAGTAGTAATTTTTACCATGTTTTCATTCATTGTCGTTCCGAGCAGAAATCGTAAAAGTTACGACGCAGCAAATTTCGCAAGGTTTAGTGAAGATTCTGAGGACTTCGCCAATTGGTAGAAGTGTTTTGGACAACTTTTTAGACTTATTCTGCTACAAGCGATGCAAGCTTGTTTCGTTATTAAGATTATGTGAAAGCAATTGGTTAATTAATCGATGTGTATGGTTTGTGTTGGCAAGATTTCGATCCGCATTGATATCACTCACTGACGGACTTGGTTTGTAATTGTAGTAAGAAATTCGATATAATTCGGTTTGAATGTACTCGAGAGCATGTGCGATGATGGCAAAAGCTAACACCTTGCCAAAAAAAATATAAAGCATTCAACGATGCTGAGATATTTAACGTTTTGTTTTCTGCCTTCTATAATTTTCATGGCAGGTTACTAAGCGAAATACAACCACAACGTTGCTGAGATATTTGCAAAACTCTGGACCGCAGGTGTCTATGGTGGGGAACGAACGCGCTATTATCCTTTCCGGGGAGTAACGCGTTCACCACCACACCATGCGGGTCCTTTGTTTCGCACGTCTCTCAGCTATTTCTATCGATCTTTTTGCCACAGCAATCACCCATCAGCGGGTCGTCTGGGGAACACAAATCGGCAATGAACTCAGTTAAGCTGAGGCTTTAGTTATAATCACAATCTTAGCCGTTTATCTAAAACTTAAAGGTAAAGAATTCAGTTTTTAGTGATTGTTACATTGTAAAGGAGGAATGCTTATTTTTGCAACATTGTTTTGTACCCTATTGTAGGGACCTCTAAACAACTATGGAAAGGTTCCTTCAGCATTGAAAATCAGTATCGATCTCCAAAACGCTGAGAGTAGCGGCGTTCTGTAGTCGAAGGATAATGAATGATTGAAAACTTAGCATACCGTGGATCATCGTCATAGATGAAGCTTGCGTTGAGGTATTCCGTTTTTCCATCTTCCCATGCGTCAACTGGTACGAGACTTTCGTCAACTAAAACAACGTGGAAGAGAAAGTAGGTATAGACTCGGAATGTCGGTCTTGAGAAAGTATGTAGTTTCAAAAGTATTTTAAGAAAACATTCTGCACTAAAAATCAATTTAGATATCTGGCATCCCATCGTGGTAAAAGCCATACTTGGATGTCAAACAGCAATGTGCTAACAATAAGTAGTTTACTCCTAACAGGTCTATTCTAAGCGGAGTCAGAGGTTGCCATTTTCAGCTGGTAGTTTGGTTAGGAATAAATCTATGCTATCATTTATCACCGCCACGGAGGAGACCTAGTCGTATGTGGAAAATGATTCCCAAAACACTAACTTTATTAAAGAATCTTTTAGTTCATAATTAAGTCCTTGTTACATTCTTCCACCTACATGGTACGATGCTTCTGTTACGATCAGCGTTTTGCGTTCCGATAGTGATGTGCTTATTTGTATTATGGTAATCACGAATAGATTCCCATTGTGCTTCAATCTTGGAAGGATCTGCCAGACATTCTTGCAAGAGATTCTGTAATGAAGTCCATTAATGAATATTTGAGAAATGTCTAAACGAATCGTAACCACTGGTAGGGGTTTCTGTTAGAATGATTGCTATATCTGATATAACCTGACATGTCTGACATTACTCGCTCTTTGGATAATGTGGCCAGCAAATCAACTTCACTCACAAGAATTATATGACCAGTTGATATGTCGATGTTGGATTGAGAAACGGCTTCCTCACACCAACTTGAAGTAGAAGAACTCTTGCTGCCACGTCCAGAACATGGCTCTTGTGCCATTCGTTGACGACAAAGTTCCTGAACACGAAATCATACTTTGAGCACGAGGTCATTCTCCAGGTCTATATCACTAAGGGTACCCGTATACACCAAGTATTAGAAGCTACCATGATGGCTCATTGGTCGAAGCTGTGAGAACTGGGTACGAGCAAAGGTAGCATTTTGCCCTGTCCCGAATGAAGATGGTTCTGAAGATTGTTTTATGCCACAGGATCGCAAATGGTACTCAATGAGTCTTTTCACTACCCTATTTTAAGTTTTGTCCGAATTCAATCCGAGTACAGTTCGTCTACATGCAAATACGTATAGGAACGTTTGTGTTTGTAAGATAATCTGTTTGTAAAAGAAATAACTCAATCCAGCATGCCAGAGACATAGAGCACATCCCATGCACCTCATTAAATCGTACGCAAACTATACAAGCGCTCTAGTTTGGGTTTCACCCTGGTTGCCTGTTTTAAGGAGAGCTGCGATATAACCTTTGTTCTTGGTTTAATTCAGTGCCCTAATCAAACTCAGATCACTCCGGGATTGCTACCAAGCCAGGTTGGGAGTATACAAATACTGTCCTAGTAACGTGGTTACCTTTTATTTACTGCCTATTCTTTTTTCATGGCAGGATATGATGTGAAATGAAACCACAATGATGCTGAGATATTTGCGAAACTCCGAGCCGCAAGTATCTGTGATGGCAATCGAATCCGATGTTACCCTTTTCGGGGTTAATCTGTTCATCACCACACTTGTCCACCGTCCTGGTACTTCGGTAGAAAGGATAAATGATAAAGCTGTCGACGATGATCTGAGGGATGCGCCATGCATTCGACTTCATTAAGCATCGTTTGGAGGTGAATGAATGCATATCTGGACCTTACAATCCCCTGACTCCCGGTTGCCTACCGATGTATCGAGCCAATGCTGCTATCCTCCTAGACAAGTCTGGTACCAGTTTGCTGACCCCGTAGGGACGAAACGCTTGGTGGGCCATGGGCGCGGGGATCGATTTCACGTGTCTGTTGCAGGGCTACTCCAACCACTGCGCCACACGCGCCGCCATACACGGTACTTTGGTAAGATGTTAAATGTTACCGCATTCCCCCCACATGCACCAATGCGTCACATGACTTAGTGATTACGAGTGATTAGCTCGAAATACTCATATGGGAGAGTAGAGATGTGGATATGCGGCATATTTCCGGATTAAAAAAGTCGACAAACCTGATATGCTAGACAACTTTTGCTTTCCAGATCATCTTTAGCGTGTATTACATTGTTGGCGTAGTAACGACGATTTTTCATGATATGAACCTAAGCATAGAAAACTCGTCTGAAATTCCCAAAACTCGTCGAAAATGGCTAACCGCGAGCACCGTGACGAGTGTAGTTATTGTGAAGGCGCAAATAAATAGCACTGGCATGAAAATCCAATCGCGATCTGACGACTCCACTGGAACTGACTCCTATAACTAATTATGTATATGTATATATGTATGTATTCTCGCCACTTTTTTATTTACGACCCACTTTTTTAATGGCAGCATATTATGTGAAATATGAACATAATGGTGATGAGATATTTACAAAACTACGGGCCGCTGGTGTCTACGGTAGGGACCGAACATGCTATTACCCTTTCCGGGAGCTAACGCGTTCACCACCACACTATACGAGCAATTGGAAAGAATGGCAGCCGTGAGTGATTTTTCATGCGTTGAATATGGGCCTTAAGCACTCGAACAATCTTTCCCAGAACTGGAAAGATCTAGAAGTGCGGATTCGTCAAGAAAGTGCGACGCGACGTGCTCTTTCGTGAATAGTTGTCGCGATGGCGTTCGGGTGTAACTTTACCACGCCAATCGCAGAGTCGAGAACTTCTTGCTTTAGAAATACTTCCACAGCATTTTTCTTACTCAATTCAAAAGAAGACGGCTATGTGAGCGACCCACCTCTCCGATACCAATGCCTGTTTCGTCAACTTCTGCACCGGAAAATTTCGCAATATCTCTTCGCCGTTTATCTGGAAAGGAAAAAATATCCAAACTGTAATAAGCGTGTTGAGAATAGTTTTCTCAGTATAACGGTTTGCTTCTGATGGAGAATAAAACCCGATTAGAATGATCACAGTGTGCACCGGATGCATATTGATCGATGTAGCAATCTTCTAGTGAAAGAGAAACTACTATGGTAGTAATTAGCCATTACTTATAAAATACATAACTCCCAAATCCACCTAATCAGTACGACGACCTCTGCTCTGGATTCTCAATCAATAAATCGATACTTACAGACGGCTTGTGCCACACCTTCGACGGTATTGATTCGTTTCTCGTTCTGGGGTTTCGCGTCCTCCATACGGTTGATACGCATCGATAACTGATTTTTGTCGAACCTAGGCAATGACGCACTAAACTTTTTTGTTTCGATAGCTATTTAATGCTGAATATTTAAATAAGATAGCTGTAGACTTGGTTTATCGCCCAGAGCAGCACTTATGCTGTAAATCTCCTACGATCAAATGCAATTTTTGCCTGTTTAAATGATCACAGGTAAACTACGAATATCTTGAACTAAGAATGGAGGATTGTCAATCGGCTCCAGAAGCCCAAGTTAAGAAGATTTGAGGCTTAAATTATTGATTGGGTCGCGAAGAAGTCGATCTACTCACCGAAAATCATCGAACAGCAAATTATTCGGTGTAGCGATCTTGTTTTGCAGGAATTCAATAAGTGGGTAGAGTTGCTCTTCATCTTTAATGTTCAGCTAAACAAAGAAATAATCATTTTAACTTATTATTTACTGCCTACTCTTTTAATGGCAGGGTATGCTGCGAAATATAACTTTAATGATGCTGAGATATTTGCAAAACTCCGGACAGCAGGCGTATGCGGTGGGGAACGAACACGCTCTTATTCTTCCCGGGGAGTAACGCGTCCATCACCACACCATGCGGGTCCTTCGTTTCGTCTGTCTCTCAGCTAATTCTATCGATCTTTGCCACAGCAATCACCCGTCAGCGGGATTGATCTGGAAGGCCCAAATCCTGCCATTAAAATGTATAAGTTAAAATTGCGACTATAACTACAACCTCAGCTTAACTGTGTTCGTTGCGGAGTTTTGCAAATATCTCAGCATCATTAAAGAAATTATTACCAGTTTTAAACGGCTCAACTAAACCACGCAGTTATTGCCCTTACCGTAATTGATTGACCTCAAGGTTACGATGGAACATTAGTTTCAGTAACCTGTAATACAAGGGAGGCGTGCTGCGCAGTAGTCGGAGGCGCGCTGCAATACACGTGGAATCGATCCCTACGACCCAGGCTCACCAAGCCTTCCATGCCTTCCCTCCGTTGCCTCCGTTGTTGGTAAATTGGCACCAGACCTGTCTGGCAGGACAGCAGCACTGGTTCGAATGTTGGTAGGCCACAGCGAGTCATTGTAAAGTCCAAACATGCATTCAATCACTTCCAACGATGCTTAATGAACTCGAATGTATGGCACATCCCTCAGAGAATAATCAACGCCCAGAGCTTTCAGCTTTTCCTTTAACGCGTAACATCGTTATAAAATAGTATTGATCGATAAAATACAACCACAACGTTGCTGAGATATTTGCAAAACTCTGGACCGCAGGTGTCTATGGTGGGGAACGAACGCGCTATTATCCTTTCCGGGGAGTAACGCGTTCACAGTTCCACGAAAATTATAGAAGGCAGAAAACAAAAACGTTAAACATTGTGATTTCAACTACAGCCATAGCTTAACTGGGTTCTATGCCGATTTGCGCTCCCCAGATCAACCCCGCTGACGGGTGATTGCTGTGGCAAAAAGATCGATAGAAATAGCTGAGAGACGTGCGAAACAAAGGACCCGCATGGTGTGGTGATGAACGCGT